TAAGGTTCATTCATGTCTTTTCAAGACTTGATAGCTTCTTTCTTTCTTTTTTTTTTTTTTTGTGAGGAAGATCAGCCCTGAGTTAACATCCATACTAATCCTCCTCTTTTTGCTGAGGAAGACTGGCCCTGGGCTCACATCCGTGCCCAACTTCCTCCACTTTATATGAGACACCACCACAGCATGGCCTGACAAGTGGTGCATCGGTGCAAGCCCGGGATCCGAACCCCGGCTGCCAGCAGCGGAGCGCGCGCACTTAACTGATACGCCACAGGGCTGGCCCCAGATAGCTTATTTCTTTTTATCATTGAATAATATTCCACTGTCTGGATGTCCCACAGTTTGTTTATTCATTCACCTACTGAAAAACAGCTTGGTTGCTTCCAAGGTTTTGCAATTAAGAATAAAGCTGCTCAGGGCCAGCCCCGTGGCTTAGTGGTTAAGTGCACACGCTCTGCTACTGGCGGCCCAGGTTCGGATCCCAGGCGCGCACGAACGCACCACTTGTCCGGCCATGCTGAGGCCGCGTCCCACATTCCCACATACAGCAACTAGAAGGACGTGCAACTATGACATACAACTACCTATTGGGGCTTTGGGGGGAAAAAAGTAGGATTGGCAATAGATGTTAGCTCAGGGCCGGCCTTCCTCAGCAAAAAGAGGAGGATTAGCATGGATGTTAGCTCAGGGCTGATCTTCCTCACCAAAAAAAAAAAAAAAAAAAGAATAAAGCTGCTAGAAACATTTGTGGGCAGGTTTTTGTGTGGACATAAGTAGTTTTCATATCACCTGGGTAAACACCTATGAGTTTGAGTGCTGGATCATGTTGTATAATAAATCTGTCTAGCCTTGTCAGAAACTGCCAATTTGTCTTTTAAAGTGGGTGTCTCATTTTGCATTTCCACCAGCAATGCAGGTGAGTTCCTGTTGCTCCATATCCTCACCAGCATTTGGTGTCTGTGTTTTGGATTTTAGCCATTCTAATAGGTGTGTAATGATATATCATTGTTTTAATTTTCAATTCCCCAATGACCTAAGATGTTGAGCACCTTTTCATATGCTTATTTGCATCTGTATGTCTTCTTTGGTGAGGTGTCTGTCTACATCTTTTGCCCAGTTTTTAATTGGGTTGTTTACTTATTGTTGAATTTTAAGAGTTCTTTGTATATTTTAGATACTAGTCCTTTATCAGATATGTGTTTTGCAAATATTTTCTCTTTGTCTGTGACTTGGTGGTGGTTTTTTTTTTTTTTTTTTGGTGAGGAAGCTTGGCCCTGAGCTAACATCTGTGCCCATCTTCCTCTATTTTGTATGTGGGACGCCGCCACAGCATGGCTTGATGAGCAGTGTGTAGGTCGCCCAGGATCTGAACCTGCCAACCCCGGGCCACTGAAGCAGAGCAGGCAAACTTAACCACTATGTCACTGGGCCGGCCCCTGACTTGGGTTTTTATACTCTGAACAGTGTCTTTCACAGAGCAGAATTTTTTAACCTATATGAAGTTCAACTTACCAATTTTTTCTTTCATGGATTATGCTTTTGGTGTTGTATCTAGTCATTGGCAAACCCAAGGTCACCTAGATTTTCTCCCATGTTGTCTCCTAGAATTTTACAGTTTTGCAGTTTACATTTAGGTCTATGATTCATTTTGACTTAATTTTTGTAAAAGGTGTATGGTCTGTATGTGTCTAGATTCAAAGTTTTGCTCATGGATGTCTAGTTGTTCCTACGTGAAATCTGGGTTTTTCTGTCAAGTATCCTGATTTTAAAAGTTGGTTCAATATTTTTTTTTGGTGGTAGTGGTGGGGAAGGAACTAAGCTCCTCCTCCCCCAACACACATGTCTGTAGGCTGTTTTTTCTCTATCTTGGATCATCTCTACCTCTCTGATCCCCCTTACCTGAAATGCTCTTCATCTCCATATAATCTTACCTACACCACCTCACATTTTGTCTACTCCACCTTTCCCAGCACTCTGGTGCGTGTACTCAACAGATATTCAGTTAATAGCTGTTGAACTCTAAACGCACTTATGAGCTCTCAGTCCCACTTAGCACTGACATATACCACTGTCTTTCCTCCACAGCCAGAATGTAAACTCTTGGGGAGGCCAGGAATCCTCCTCCTCCTTTTTTACCCCAGGTAGCTTAGCATAGGTCTGGGCAGAAAACAGGTCAGCAATACTTGTTGAGAATTTCAGACTAGCTGGCTTACCAAGTGTCCTTTGATCTTCAGGAGAAATGGCTACTTCAGGAGGTCTAGCTGAGGACCTGCCAAAGATTTAAACCCTGCCGCCTTGCCCTGGCACAGCTACAATGGTGGCATCTCTAATTTTGATGCCTGATGTAGCATTACGCCCACACAAACGAGAGGGCCCTGATCTCCTTGGAGAATTAGAGAAGATTTACCAATGAGATAGCAAAATGTAGTCTCTGAAGTATCAAAGCGTGCTGAGTCACAAACATGTTTCTTTCATTATGATTGTTATGTGGTCATAATGATCATTCTAGTCATTATGAAAATAATGAAAAACAAATGAATGAAATAAAAAGAAGAACAGATAGTTTCCTGGTGACTGGTTCTCCACGTTATGCCTAATTAATAGTCAAGCTATGGTAATCCCCCACCCCCGACAGTTTTTTATTTTTGTCTGTGCCATTAAGTGTTCCCATTCAAGATCTCTGTGCACTTCAAAGTGGACAATGATGGAGGGAATGAAAGGGGCCAGAACTGAGGTTGAGACCAAGTGGTCTCGGCTGGTTGTGACTGAGCCCAATCACCGTGGCACAGTGTGCAGACAGACTTCCCAGTTAATTTATTCAGGGAAAGTACTGTGGCTTCTGTTTGCTAGGACTACCAAGCTTCTGTCTGTGGTTCACCCAGGCAAATCCCAGGCAGAAAAAACTGGGGAGGCACAAACTGGGGAACAACATCTCACTGCCCTGGGTTTCAGAAACGGTCCGTGAACCTGCTGCAGAGCTTACAGTGCCTTTGGCATGGCCCTCATTCAGGGCGGTGGCAAACTCTGCTGTCAGCACTGGCATCGGCACTGCTTCCACCACAGGAACAGCTTTGCTTGAGCTCAAGACTCATAGGTACCAGTCAGATATTCACTCAGCTTGGAAGGACAGCAGTCTTGTTGGAAACACATCCACACTCCTACCTCCAAGCCTCTTCCAAAGGCAAACAAGAAGAACTGTTCCTGGCATCACCCTCCCTTCCCCGGGAAAGTCCCCCAAATTTGCAGCAGGCAGGGAACAGTCCCCGTGAATAGCACGAAGAGGCAGAGTGATCCCCGGTGTTTTATGTAAAACAAGCCACATCTAGACAACTGAAAAATAAAAAATCTCAAGTCCCCACTCCAGGACCTGTTCAAAAGACATACCCCCTTTTTTCACTTAGCTGCCTAAGCAGCCTCTTTGGACACACTGTACTCAGTGGTGACTCAGGAGGCGTCCAGCTACCAGCCGCTGAAAACAAAGATTAAAAACCACTTGTTGGTACTGCTGGCTAAAATCAGGGATGTGAAGCAACTTGGGCTAGAAATTCAACTTTGCTCACGCTGAGCAACAAATAACTTCAGCAACTGCTAGGTACAGAGGTTTAAACAAAATGAAGAACAAACTAGAATCTCCTTAAAGCTGAGCAAAGCAGGTCTAGGAGTGCCTGAGAAAGGATACAGCAAGGGAGGGAGGCTCCACAGGCAAGTCTGGCCATGGAGAACAGAAGAGACTCACTGCCCATAAGCTGAACCAGTTAAACTATTTTGAGCTCTTGAGGCACTGGTCTATTTCTTAGCAAACAAACACACTATCTACCAAACAACAGGTAAGTAAGTAAACTTCCTGAATATCAAGGTAAGATTTAAAGATGCCAACAACTATAACAGAGACCTGATTTTCCTGACGTACAATTTCATCTTACACTGTTGTTGTGTTTTCAGTTACTTAGTACCTCTTAAGTCCATTTTAAAATGAGTCATTTTTTTCCTTAGTCTCTTCTAAGGCAAAAATTGTTGGACCCATTTTGCAGATCTGTAAATATCTTAAAGAGAGAGAATGGCAGAGTGCAATCATGCAATTACGGCTTGGAGAGGGGCAGGAAAAGCTTCTGACATCCTGGTGTCTAACCAAGTGAAACCATCGTCTTGAGGCAATCTGGCTGAACCTCCAACTATTTTCACTAGAGAAAGGCCAAGTCAACTCTGCTTTTCCTGAGTCTTATACAGCTGTAGCCTGAGAGTCCAGCTGTTCTGGTCATGGCCTCACATTCTTTCTGCAAAGGCTCTAGTGGACAAGATTTATGGGGTGGTCTGAAGAAGCATGCTAAGCAGTGTGGGATGAAACCACAAAGGAGAACTTTCTGGCCCTAGCAAAGTAGATCTAAGTTTCTGTGGAGGACTGGACAAGCAGCCCCAAAACTGCTTGTCTTGGCTATGGGTGCTCAATACCCAAGAATGAAGCAACAGAGGTTCTTCTCTTTTAGAGTCTCTGGTATGTGATCACAGTCATGCTAAGGTTTGAGGGTCTGAAGACCCACAGGGCTACTGGGAGCTCTTCTTTCTGGAAGCGGATACAGAGGTGGCATTGAACATTCTCAACATGTCAGGGAGAAGGGAAACCGAGACAACATGAATGAGTGAAACAGACTTGGCTACTGATCTACTGAGCTACTACAGTGCCTGGATGTTTGTAAAACCAAAAGACATTGCTTTTCATGCCCAGCCGCCAGCACAGGCAACAGCCATCACCAAAGCCATCTCAGCAGGATGGTAAATCAAAGGTCACCAAGGCCAAGAAGCAGTATGTTAAAAATAATGATTCCCCTTTGAGATGATGATGCTTAAAAAAATCTGTAACAAAATAGCCAAGCTCCAAGTTTAGGGAGGTTTAGATCACGTTCATGGGGCAATGCTCTAAGTCAGATGGGGCCAGAGAGCAAACTCTGGGCAGAATGGCTGATCAAGGGCCTACTGTGTAGGCCACTGGACATCATACTTACAGTGAGTTAGGCCGGGCGGGTTTCAGCACATCCAGGTCTGGGTCACTGGAGTTCATGTTGGGCTGTAAACTACTGCTGGAATTAAGGATGCTATTTGCATTTGATGAGACGACAGATTCCAAACTGGAGTTGATGATGCTGTTTCTTTGTTCCTCTGGGGAAAAAAGGCCACAAGTCCCATATTAATATTATTCCATAGGGATAGTCTGTTTGTACATATACAAAAATTTTAAAAATAATAAGATTAGATTGATATCTCGGATCCCAATGAAGCTAAGAAAAGGACATAGGAAAGGATAAGAAATGCCAGCGGGAAAGAAAGAGTCAGAGCGGAACAGGTGACTTGAAACTTTAGAGCAAAACCCCCTCCTCAGCTTGACAGGACGTACCTCCCCTTTACTACGACCAGCCTTTTTCCTAAGCATGGCCCTACCACTGCACCATAAATTGTGTCTTCTTTTGACTGGCAGATGGTCAGAACAAAGAGCAGCCTTCATAGTCCCCTTGCAGTCAACAAGATCCTCTTGGTTTCTGTGACACTCACCTTTTATTTTAAAACTCCTGCCCTCAATATTGTCTTAAGTGCTAAGGCCAAGTCCTACCTCCAATTCTATCACAGCTCACCATAAAGTATCTACTATTTGGCTATCAACTTCCTTATAACTCTGCAGTCTAAATTCCTGACAGGTCTCCAGACACACCCTTCTGGGTTGCCTCTAGCTCCATATATTTGATGTTTAGCTTCAAGTTAGTTCTTTGATAAACAGATCTGTAAGGGTGACAGAGTAGTCTGTATCTAAAAAACCTGAGTCCACGGTCCAAGTAGTCATTAACGCTTGGAGAATATTACAAAGCCAGGATGGAGAAAACCTGAGTTCTCTTCAAGACTCCTCCCCTGACTGGCTGTGTGGCCTCAGGCAATTTTCATTGACTCTGTTTCTTGGTTAATACGTCTATAAAATGGGAAAATGAGAACTGCCTTGCCCAGCTCAAGGAGCTGTCATGAGGATCAAGTGGGATCATACGCAAGAATTTGTTTTGTAAACTTCAGAATACTGCTCAAAGAAAAGAACTTTTTGTTTCTTCCCATCTTTAAAAACTTGGAACCATGCACTGAAGAAAACATTTTTGGGATGATTTAGCTCAAGGGCACAGGCACAACTGCTGTAGCAAAATTAGAGACTTGGAATATCATTCTCGTCCCACATTCATTACAAATATACCATATTGAAATCAACTGATGTTTTAGGCAATCAATTCACTTATTAAGAAATATCGTATCTGGGTTAATCATCACTGGGCCTTTTTGAAATGAGCCAAAAGTATACTCTATTCCTAAGAAGACACACTGGGCTCACTGACATGGTGGTTCAGAGGTCAACATTTGAACTCGGGTCTCTTTAGGCAATAAAGAGAGTGATGTCACAATAAAAAATACTTTACCCTTGCACTAGCCATGTAGGTAAAAGTTGATTATGCTTATGAAATGATGTTCATCTTCACAATAAATGCACACACACATCAAGAACCCCTAATATCTTGGCAAATTCTCAATGCCCTGTTTAACACAGAAGAGTTAAGAACCCCCTGGAGGCTACTGGGAGATTCCTGAACTCTAAGTAGATTTTTAAAAAGTAGATTATTAAATTGCTTCCTGAGATGGAGAACTACTCATATTTCAAGAGCTTAAGTTCCAAAGAGAAACAACAACAAAGAAAGAGAAACGAAAAGAGTTACATTGAGCCAAGATGTAGGAGAACTAACAGGGCCTGCAAATGGGAACTTGCTACTGGGAAGAAAAACAACTCTAAAATTACATAATTAGGGGATCATTGAGGGAATGGATATGCCACTTATCAGTATGAATCAGCATGAATCAGTGTAAGTAAAATTTTCCTTTGCACAAAATACTTAACATCAAGATTCCTGAATGAGTGTGAGGAGCCCAGGACCACTGTATAAAAAGGGGAGTAAAGATGACACTTCTTTGGGGCTCAACGAACACATTTTCTGCTTCATGTAGGAGGAGAGATGTGTCGTTTTATTAACTCTAGTTTGAGGCCAAGTTTGCATGACAGAATTCTCTGATTTCAAGGAAACAGAAGAGGATAATTATAGCTCATATTTCTCTTGTGATTATATTTACTTGTTCATGAGAGGGTTATGATTCTCTATATTAAAAACAATACCTTGCTAAAGGTATATTTGTTTTTCTAAAATATTATTGGGACATATTTTTCTGCCTTACTATCCATTAGAAAAAGAGAGTATCTGAGATGAAACCTTCTTCAATTTTCATTTTACTCAATGAATGTTTATTGAGCACCTACTGTGTACCAAACACAGTCCCCAGACACTTAGCAGACCCCTACACTAATTCCTTGGTATTTTATTCAGATGTACACTCGAGTATTTATTAACTTGTGCCATTTGTTTGGTCATATGTCTACCGTCCTCAGTAGATATGAGCAACTTAAGATTGGACATTTGACAGATAAAACTTTGAAATCACAACTGAAAAAAATATTATATAAAGATGCTGTGCTTTATAAAATATTGTATCAGAATCCTAACATTCATAAAAAGATTTGATTCTAAAAAGTGGACTTAGGTAAAATTTTTAAGAATATATCTACTGTTCTAGTATTATAGACTGGGTTTCTCCATGAGCTAACAAGGAAGCCTGCAGCATACAGAAAATGATATTTGTCTGAAATAAGCCCACAAGAGAAATGAGGATGGGGTGGAAAATGAAAACCCAACCCTCTCTGGACTAGAAAACTCAATGGAATAAAACAGGTGGCTACACTCAAATTGAGCTTGAGGATTTCTAGTATTTCATTTACTGGAGGACACTAGAATTCTTTTTGTAAGAAATAATTGTTTTTGAGATTCTATTTTGATATATTTAGATATCTAGGACCTTTCACATATGGCATAACCTGTAACAAAACAAAACAACAAAAGCAAAAGATCAGGGAAAGGAGTTCTTTGTCCAAGAAGAAAACACAAAAAATTTAATCATAAGATTTCATAGTTTTGCAGCCAAGATAGCCAAATCTGCATCCTAAGAGCAGACTCATTACTGGTATCGCTTGACAGACCATCTAAGGAAATCTGGAAACCTGGCACGGTCTGACTATAAGACCACTACAGTTTTATCTGACATGAGACCTCAGATAATGAGACTGATAACTTCTAGGTAGAGATTTCTAAGCTGAAATGCTGACAATCTTTACTAAGGGTGAGTAGGAAGGTGCAGATTATTCCAGAGAACGGGTGGAGAGTAAAATCAACAGCAAATCAAATGTTTTAGTGGTTATGGTAAACTGTACCAAGACAAATTCTAAAGCATCTGGAATGAATTAAGAAATAAAGAGAAAATGATTCAGCAATGTCACTCAAAACAAGAGGATTTTTGTCAGGTAGGCAAATGAGTCCTTGCTCCTGACAGAAAAACATGAGAACAGGCAGCCTGAAAGACTTTTTTTTTAAATAAAATTAACCAAATGATTCAAATACTAGAGCTGGACTTCGAGTCACTGATGATTCAAACTAGCTCTGGCATCCTCATCAGCGAGTATAAGGAGAACTGATGGCAATTACATTGCTAAAGAAAAGAAATTATAGGCTAGTGGACTGAAAAAGAAAAACAATAACCAGTTATGAGTCAAATCAACAAGATCACAGAGAACCATTTATATGACCAAAAGAGAGAGAATGCCCACAACTCCGGAGTATTCCTAAAGTGGTTCAAGTCAGTGAGAAGGCTTACCTTCCTCAAATATGTTTGTCAACAAGAATCTCTTTTCTTCTTAGTCACAGAAAACAAGAGCCCAGAAACAAGGAAATGATAAAATAAAATAAATCCCACGGCTGGACAGTGGTTAAATTCAGGTGTTCTGCTTTGGCGGCCCGGGGTTCGCGGGTTCGGATCCCAGGCGCAGACCTACGCACTGCTTATCAAGCCATGCTGTAGCAGGTGTCCCACATATAAACTAGAGGAAGACGGGCACGGATGTTAGCCCAGGGCCAATCTTCCTCAGCAAAAAGAGGAGGATTGGCGACAGATGTTAACTCAAGGCTAATCTTCCTCACACAAACACACAAAATCTCCAAATGTAAACATGTATGGGTAATGCGTTAGATGCTTTCATGAACCTATGTTCTACGAGGAGGGACAAACTGGATGTGGACATGGTTCTTAAGAATGCAAATGACTCAAGGGCAGGGGCACATCTGCCCACACAGAATACATCAAGCATCTGTTACCAGTGACCTGGGAGGGCAGCGTCAGCTCATACATTACTGGTGCCTACTCTGTGTGGAGTATATACCAAAGCTCCACGAATGGTTGTAAGATAAATAATAAATATAAGGCAACAATAAACCATCAAAATGTCTTCTGCTAGCACAGAAAGAGGTAGTTTTGTGTGATTAAATTTTTCAGGTGCTTCAGACAGGAACCGCTAATGTCCTTGACACCAAAGTACTAGTTACAGGGGGCAGAGTCTCTGTTTTTTTGTACAAATCAGGAGTGGAAAAACATGAGTATGCAACCAAATCACTGCAACTAAAAAAAGAAAGCCACAGAAGAATTTTGGTGATATTGTACTTGTTCTGGTGGTTGCCATGGAAATCTGGGAGCTCAGCTCACTGTCCATATTTACCAAGTGACTCTTGCTCATGCTAACAACCCCACCACCTACGAGAGGTGGGGTCTCTGTTTATCATGGAACCCAGAGGTGACGCTAAGAATGCACACGCAGAGCCAAGCCAAATTCACACGTCCTGGCAGGCCTGAACACGTCTGGCTCCCTGAACACACAGAGCTGGAGGGTAAATATGAAACACAGGCTGTTGGCGTCACTTTGGGAGGGGTTTCCCACCACACACGGAAGTCTGTCAGAATACAGGCTCCAGTCTCATTTTTCCATGATGTCTGAGACTAGCTGTCAAAAAGAAGAGGGAAGGTGACTGTTCTTCAGCAGCAGCTCATGATGCTTCACAGAGCCCAAAGGAGAGAACTCTCTCTCCACACCGTCAGACAGGGAGAAAAGGGAGTTATCAGACAGACGCAAGTTCTGCAAAGACATAAGGCTTTACACAAAAAACATTAAGGCAAAAGCAAAATACCCAGAGGCTTTCCCGTGC